GCAAAGCAACTATCAAACAATACTCTGGAACAATCTGGAATTGGTATATATATTGTCAATCGAAACAAATAGATTTATTCGAACCCACGGTTAAAGATGTAATTTCATTCCTAAACAGTTTAGTTGACGACAGTACTTCTTATAATTCTGTCAATGCACACAGAGCCGCACTACATCTAATAATAAGTAAACATTACGATCAGGATGAGCTTGTTAAACGATACTTAAAAGGAATATATAAACTGAGGCCAAATTTTCCAAAGTATAAAACTACCTGGGATCCATCGATCGTTCTCAAATATCTAGAAAAACTATACCCACTAGAAGAACTAGGGTTAGAAATGCTCTCTAAAAAGTTGTAGGCCTTTTGGCACTCACAACAGCACAAAGAATTAACACAATCTCTAAAATAAGACTCTCTCAAATAACCAGAAATCCTAGTGGGCTTGATTTACTCATTACAGATATTTTGAAAACATCTAATCCAAAAAGGGCTCAGCCGATCATTAAACTAAATTTTTTTGAAGAAAATCGAAGATTATGTGTCGCGACAACTCTGCTTGCATATATAAAGAAAACTGAATCATACAGAGGAGACCAAGTCGAGGATTTCCTATTCGTGACGTTCAAAAAGCCTCACAAAACGGCCACTTCCCAGACATTGAGTCGATGGTTAAAGTCAGTTTTGTCAAACAGTGGGTTAGACACAAAAGTTTTTCAAAGTCACTCCACGAGACACGCATCTACATCGGCAGCATGTAGAGCCGGCGTGAGTGTCGACCACATTTTAAAAACCGCAGGGTGGACCGAAAAATCTATTTGTTTTGCCAAATTTTATTGTAGACCTCTGCAAAAAGACAGAAACGAGGTTGCAGCGGCATTATTAGAAGACTTTAGTAGGAAAAATCAATGATTTCTCCTGAGGGTTAAGGGTATAATAATCATTGATATTATTGGAATATTGGATTCGATATTATTGTTAATTGGGAAATAACAAATATTTTCATTTACTGAATTTTTGTAAAAATTGTTGTTAGATAATTACCTAACTGTTATAATATTTTATAGGTAATTACAGAAGAAATGTTGATAAGTCTGATCGCTTCTCATTAGTTAAAAATCTACAGGGTGTTCTATAGAAGTATTGGAAAAGACTTCAGCGAAGTATAATAAATGGAACAAACGACTTACCTGTAGGGAAGTTCGTTCCATATTATACGAGCGAAGTCTTTTCCAATACTATTAGAGTTATTTATTTTGCTACATACTTCACATTACAACTCATTTATACAGGGTGTCCCTCCAGGAACTGCATCGATCAATATATAGAAAACCATAGGTGGGCCAAATTTGAAAATTTGGGAGTTCACCATTGTTATTAAGTGCTATCCGGCTAAAATATTTTGAAGGTTGTGGCACTTCCAGTTGTACCGTAAGTGAACCACAACTTCGTTATTTCAAATAGGACACCCTGTATATTATCAAGGTTTTAGATTCAACGCATGATTCTGAACATATTTTATGTATAATGTCCTATATCCAAGTCTAATCGTTCTCGATATATTTCAAATGTTAAGTTGAAAATTGCATTTACAGACCGACAAATGAGGAGCTCGCATGCAAAATCAGAAATAGGTATCCACTTTCCTGAATTCTTCAGGAAACGAAAAAAACGTCTGCAATCTGTTGCCTGAAACAAATAGGCAAAATTCCACCGTAGATCGATTAGAATTTGGATAATGAATAGAATGAATCACATTTGAATGAATTGCATCGGAAATCCAGATCAATATACAGAAAAAAATAATGAATATATCTTGTTTTGCACCAAAATCGGAGAAATTTCTATGGAGAAAGTATTTTTTCACTGGAATTATTACATCAACATTCTCTTGAATATGCTCTACATGTTTCGTTATCTTCATCTACTTCATTTTTATCAGTAGAATCAATTCCTTTACATTGGACTCTAACCCACACAGATATGGATATAACCGGTTTCGCTTGCAAATTCGGGAATATATCTGATTTTGCTCTAGAACCTAACTTATAGACAGCACGCGACCCCCTCAAATATATTCTTTTATTTCTAGGGCTTCATTTTCGATGCCGAATTGCATGAGAATATCAAATTGGGGGGTTTCCATTTGAAAAAATCGACTTAAAATAATTGTTTCAACGCCCGCCGTGTGAACGCCCTGTATAACTGTAATCGTATTGATATCAAAGTTCTACTGAACTGGGTCCTCTCCTACGAATGAATCTCGACACAATCGAAAATAAATGATCATGTCCAGAAATGAAAGAACATATTTGTCGGTCTTCAAATGCAATTTTCAACAAAAAATTGGAAAAATTTCTAAAACGGTCAGACTTGGGTATGGGAAATTATACATAGAACATTTTCAGAATCATGCGTGAAATCCTGATTCTTGATAATATATAGAGTGTTCTATTTAAAATAGTGGAGTTGGGGTCCTTTTCCGGTACAACTGGAAGTGCCACAATCTTCAAAATATTTTAGCAGGATAGCACTTACCAACAATATTGACCTCACAAATTTTTATAGTAGGTCCACCTATGGTTCTCTATACAGGATGTTTCTTAAGTACGTGTAGAAAATTCAGGAGCATGTTGCGGACGTCAAAATAAGAAGGAAAGTGCGTATAAATATATTTCCGAAAGCTAGTCGTTTCTGAGATACAGAGTGCCAAAGTTGAATTCTCATTTTTGTTTTTTGTTGATAAATTTCAAAATAATTGTTCTGTTGTTCTGTTCTGTATGTAGGATGGTCCTCCGCGTCACTGCAGAGGTGGCTGGTGTTGGACGAGGAATGTTAGTGTATATGTGAGGTGTTAGTCACAGGGATCTATCTCCTAGGGCTGAGCCCTTTATAGTAGTAGTAGTCTCATTGTGGAAACCAAGGGGGTGGCGGACCTGATCAATCGCTATCAGTGATGAGTTTTGCATGGTATTGGAGGAAAATAAAAGTCAAAATACAAAAACCTCCTTCTTGTTTGGCTAGGCCAGACATACTGATACGCCGCGCCCGATTTTGGCTGTGAGGCCAATCGTCGGGCGCGGGCGTGCCTGCACGTCTGACGTTCAATATCAGATCGTCACTCCTAAGGTGACCTTGACATTATTTTATTTTCTTGCTCGGGAGATTGTGAAGTCCAGATCTTCCCCGTAGCCTCGTTGGTATTTCAAGGCTCGGGGGGTCCCCCCGACTATAGATTTCCTGACTCTGCAAAAACTCCATGTTTTTTTCTGGATTTCATGATGTCGTCTTGTTTCAGTGATATTCCGGGTGAGGTCACTACCAGCGATGTGGTATTTGTAAAACTTGTTGACTGTTTTAATTATGTATTCTCTAATTCTTGGCCAATCACCACATCTCTCGTGGAGATATACCACTCCAGAGTATCTATCATCGTTGGTGATGAGAAGTACTTTGTTCTGTAGCACCTGCAGCCTATTTATATGCTGCAGAACACCGGGCACGCATACGCCTTCTGATCTGCCTATATATCAGGACCTTGCTTTCCACTGAAATTTGAGAGGTCCTAGATAGTAGCGGATACATTTTCTTTATTGCACCTTGAGTTTTTTGTATGAGTTAATTGGTGTGTGACCTGAGACTCATATACGGGTGTCAACTCAACCCCAGGTATCTCACGGTGATCGTGTCTCCCACCTTGATGGTCAAAGGTCTTAGCAGCTTCGAGTTGTTGAATTTCTAATGAAAATTGATTACTTCGATCTTAGTGCTGTTTATACAGATCTCTGACTCGTCAAAGTAAGGCACGATTTCCCTGTCCAAATGGATCTGGATTTGAGTCCAGGCAATATTTTAGTCGAACGAGTGAGCATATTTTGCCATATCATCGGCGTAAAATGCTGTTCTCGTTCGCTCGAATACAGAACAATCGTGCGAACATAGAGTATATAGCAGAGGTGAGAGGCAAGACCCCTGTGGAACGCCTGCCTCGAGTGGAACATCTCCCAATACACTCTCGTTGACCTTAACCTGAAATTTCCTGTTGGGGGGGTAGTGTGCTCACCGGCGCCGGTGATTAGCCTCAGTAGCAGGAAAAGGCCGACGTTGAAGAGCCAAGGAAGAAGATACTATGACAGAAACTATTCTTTGTTTATAAAATATTCCACAGGAATACTAGGAGCAAGCAAAATTGACTAGAAGGCACATCATCGTACGAAATCTTATTGCAGAAATAATATCCTTGATAATTATTGTGAGCGAAAGGGCGAAGTGAATGTTCAGGAATGGTTTATTATTCATTGCATATTAACTGTGTGGTGTTACAGAGTGATGTCCGAAATTTATTCTCAGTGATTGACGGAAACACTGTATTCCGCCAAATTAGGAGTAAATGAAATTGTGGCGAGTTGGTACGTATGAGGTTCAAATAGTGAATCTTCACACATCATTGAAAATAAGCTGTACCTACCTCTTGTTATTTTGAGCTAACTTATTTCGCACACAATTTGGCGAACAGTTTCGTGGAAACGTAGGAAACTGATATCATTTTATTACTGATCATATTTTTATCAAAATACGAACTTTGTCATTTTTTGACGTTTGTAAAAATGGTTATTTTTTCATCTGAGCCAAGTTGAAACAATAGTTGAGATCACCAAAGTATTTCGCGCAAAAGCTGCAAGCTATTTTTTTCATCGAACGTCTAGAAATATTGTTCCACAATAAGTGATATGCTTAGCATAATATGAAAAATAGTGTAGGAATGGCTTAAAAAGTCCTAGTTAGTGTTAAAAATTCATAAATAAATGATTTTCTGAAAGTTTGCTCAATTGGGATCATAAATAAATCATCATGACTAGTCTATCATTAGTTAGCTGATACTGGCTTTTCTAGTGGGATTAGGGCATATCTCTGCCATCCGTATGGAACGAAAACGAATGATGAAAATGTGAATCAATTCCGTGTACTCAATTCAATATAACGGCATATTTTTCCTTACTTTTCTTCCAGGCTGAACTCCAGGTGCATCCCTATCTACGATGAAACCTGTGAACGCTTTACTAGCTGGCGCTTTCGGATCTGGATTGGTTCGAGCCAATACAAAATACCTATAAGTAGAATAATTACTTCGTGAGGATGATGTTATATTATGGTATTCATTCCATTCAAAATGAATTTTTCCTACGAGCGTGTGCAAAGTAGTACTTTTCCGCACTCATTCGCGTGCGCAAAGTAATACTTTTCTGCACTCAGTGTGGATATTGGAAAACTACCCAAAAATTTCACTGGTATGGAACATTTATATATTCATTTTAGTTGCTGTAGACTATTGTATGCACTGAGGGAAGCAGTTATTCCTTTTACTTTTCAACCGTTCTTCCCGATATTTGTATTTCACCTCAATATTTGAATATTAGGAACAACTGATTTGATTTTCTATCATTATATTTTATTGATGTGTAATTGTTTGTTGTTTAGCTATTCCTATCGAGTTTGACTAAAAAGTATTCAATAAATTGTGATTTAGGTTGAAATTTTCTTATTTTCATTGTTATCTGATATGAAGCTCGTAGGGAAAATGTGATATTCTACTATAATATTTCATTGTTATATTCGATTGTTGTATTTTTCAATAAGTTATAATTTTTTTTCCTTTTCATCTGATTTGAAGCTCGTAGGAAAAACGTTGTTCCTAACACGTGCGCAAAGTGTCTTTTCCGCACGCAATCTCTTGGTGTATAGATAACTATTATCATAGGGGTGCATGAGTTTATCATGAGAACGATATGATATGAAACATTTTCAACCAACTCACCAGTTAGCCACACCTCCATTTGTAATCCACATTTTTTGACCATTCAATATATACTCATCACCTTTCTTTTCTGCTCTCGTTGTCAACCCATTCACATCTGAGCCTGCTCCTGGCTCAGTCACCGCATAAGCCTGAAATTATTGTGAATTCTAAACCAAACGATTATACAATTGTTTCAGCATGAAGTTTGAAAAATATCTACTGGTGTCTCGGCTTGAAACGAATTTACTGCACTAGAGCTAGAGGTCGCATTATTGGAGTGAAATCGAGTCGAACATACTCCAGTTTATCAAAGATTTCCTGATATGCCAGGAGAACATTGTGGAGATCACTGTGTGTTCTGATCCGTGGTTAGATGAAATATTTTGATTTCTCAGCAAAAATCATTGGTTCATATTTTCCTCCGTTATGGATCAACCCAGTTCATTAAAATTTGACGCTCTCATTCTCCAGCGATATATATTCTACAAATTCATGGAAAGTTGCATTGGGTCTGAACACGGAAAATGATTAATCAATGTCAAAAACCAAATACAAAACTTGAAACTTGAATCGACCATTAGGTATTTCATGGTATCAGAAGACCTGAAACTTCTTTATTTACGAACGATATAAAATGATGTGAGTATTATACTTGTGGTTTGTGCCGTACGTACAGTTAGTTCTGTACATTAATCACAGCGAGGAACTATGACTAGGGATCTCTTACACCCCAATCACAAATTTCTCCAAAAATGATACTAATTCAAAATTTCAACATAGTCAGACCGATTATGGAATACCGACATCCAATGTCCATCACCTGTGAAAAACCAACTCTAAAAAACTAACAATATCATTAAAATTGATGGGAAAAACAGCCTACACGTATTTAATCTGAACTAATTGGGTGAAAAACACTGGAAATAATGTCGAATAATGACGTAGACGAGATGTTGACATAAGTCGAAGTCAATGTCAAGGAATAAACCTTAAAATTACGACGATTTGCCAAGGCATGTAACAATAGCTGATACAACTATACTTATAGAATGTATGGAGGTAGAAGGAGGGGGGGGACAAAGCAAAGAGTATGGCAAACCTGGACTATCATTATTTCTGAATATACCACATAATGGAGAGTTCAGACCAGGGTAGCTAAACTAACCAGCGACTAAATTCCGATACATTGAAAAATGTAATGCAGTCAAACTGTATTTGCTCCCTAAAGGAACAAGACAGAATTATTATTCATGGAAGAATTCCGAAAATTTTCATGAAGTGAATAACCTACCTTTTTGACAGACATGTAGAATTTCAGGATCCCGATTATGATCGAAACTATGGCGTGGATGTAGGATATGATTCGCAAAATAACTTTTTGTATTATATCCATCGAATAAAGGGGGTGCGTTCTCAAATTGTTCAATGAACTTCACATGTTCTGTGACTCTATTTGAAATTGTTCAACCACTTTGTCCAATATATTGAGCATTGCAGTAAGAGATATAATAAACTCTTGATCCATGATTCAAGGAAACTCTATCTTCAGTATTAACTTTTCCTGATATATTATCAACTGTAAGAATAGATATTAATTCTCCAATTTATCGATAAAAAATGTTCTTGATGTCATTCGATTCGAGCCTTTGTTGAGGAAAGGAATGAAAGAAGAACGAGTTCAAGGATTTTGTATTGGTAATAACCATTTATGGAAGGATTTATATTGGTGTTTGTCGAAAATCTCATCGATAATATGGGGTGGAAAACCGTTATTGTGTCCAATCTGCTTGATGATATTCAGTTCATCAATGAAATTTCTCATTGTTATATTGAACAGTCTGTGGAACAAAGAACTAGAAGTTGCAAATAAGTGTTTACTAGGATGACAAAGCACTACACAGTCAGTGTGTGTGGGTTTCCGATATACCTATGGGAAAATCAAGAGTATCATTGTTCATATTAATAAGTATAGGTCAAAATAAAAGAAGAGAGTTGATAACTGGCACTTCCATAGTGAAGTTCATAGCAGGGTGTGATGAATTCAGAAAATTTAAATGGAGATTGGCATCTTGTGATATACCATCAAACAATACCAAGCAATCATCATTATAACGGTACCGAGTCAAACAATAACTGGCGTACTAAAGGCGATGCAATCCTCAGAAGGAACATATCAGATGGAAAAAAAATTGACAACGTCTCATGGAAACAAAATTGTATCCGGAGGAATATTGCAATTTTTTCATTTTATCAGTGATATCAAATGAATTATTTAATGGGAGGATTTTCGGAATTGGTGAGATCTTTGATCAAACAAACATTCCTCATTGTTGAAGAATTAAGTAAGTAATCTATTTGTTCGAATCATGATCAATGAAGAACATATAATATTTTTATTATCTTTGATATTAAGAAAACAATATAAAATATACTCAGAAGTGTTTGTGTCAAACGCCTAGTGTTTGTGTGATTCTTATCATGATATTCTGAGAGTATTGATAATGAGTATCTGGAATTATGCAACTATTGATGACTTTTGGAAGATAAGTGCGAAATATGGATGAATTCAAATGAAAATATTCATGTACATATAATTGAAGAACTTCCTTCTATATCGTTAGTGAGAACTTCAAGTTTCTTGAATTGATGAGATGATTTCACACCAGTATTCCCCAGCTGATTCTTTGGCATATCTGATTTTCACCAAACATTTTAGTGTAACTTGACGATGGTTATTGCTAAAGCCAAAACCATTATTTGATTATATTTCAGGGTTTTCTGTCTTCACTGATTTGAGTTATTTCAGCATTGTCATCTTTATAAAGCTCCATGGGCTAAAGCTTTTGTTGATATTAATAAGTCACAACTGAACCTCAATGTATTACTTCATTGAATGAGCAAATCCACTTTGATTGCCTGCCAATTTCGGATTCATTAGTTTTTATTCAATGATTCATGTGATTTGTCATCGAAATTCCGATATTATTACAACGATATAGGATGTATAATAATAATAAATTAACACAAGTTCGGTGTTTTGATAGGAATTTTGGTTCGTTTGTCTGGGCCCTGGGATATTTCCTATATACTAAAATAGGTTTTGCAGTTTTCTGTACTGTCGGATTTAGAGTTCGATTTCTATCTTGACGTTTTTAGTCATGTGCATAATTCGAACAGATGTCATTTCAGTCACTTTTCCCTTGTTTTCTTTTCCAAGATTGCAGGTATTAAGAAAAGCGACTTTGTCGTAATGTTCAAAATCAAAAACATTTGAGTCAATGATCATTTCGCCCCGCATGATGGGGTAGGATACATTTTAAATAATATTCAAATGTATATTTCTCATGTATCGTCTACACGAGGTGTTTCATATTCAAATACACATCCGATACCTGCCTATTGAAGAAATGTTGATGGTTTCAATTCTTCCTCCAATGACGTGTCTACCTTCTTTCATGACTTTGAATAATTCACTCATACTTGGTATAATAATATTCCACTTATATTAGCTATCAAAACTGAATAAAATTCGAGATCAGGATCCAGATTCGTCTCAATAAGGACAAAGGCAGGATTTTCTGAATCTGGTTTGATATTTGAGAAGAGTGAGAAAAAATTAATTGAATGACCCACATTTAAACAGTGCGCATTCGATTGACAGATGTTACATTATTATTTTCGAAATATTCAGCTTCAATTTTTCGGCATTTTTATCGAACTGGTATTACAAAATCCACTTCAAAACAAGAAAATAACAGTCTGTAAAGTTCAACATCATTAGAGTCAAATTAGGTGAACTATCGTTATATTTGTTCGTTTGACAAAATAACTTGTCAAAGATATTTAAAATATTCGAGGACTCATTTCATTTTTCTTTATTCATTCATTAGCTGCGGTAAAGTCGAGGTGCTGAAAAATTTTAAATTCTGACAGTTCGTAATCACTAGTATTATTCAGATCTAGATATTGTTCAAACCGACTAGGTTATTGTGTCAAGACATAATCATGAACACTTTGAAATGTAACAACCGAATACAAACAGCAAGAATTATCTTAACCTCACCAATAATAAAAATGAAATGAGCCCTCGAAATATTCCTGAAATCCTAGCCAAGTTCTTCGGTTATATATAGGGATTTCCTTCCGTGCGCTTCAATAAGCGATGGGAGAAAACGAAAACATCTATCGATAGTTCACCTATAATTTTACTCTTATAATGTGGAACTCTCAGAACTAAGATTTTTTTCTATCAAAATTAAATTCGGAATTACGAGTTCAATAAAAATATCTCGAAATGGAGCTATTTATTCAAAAAAATATTGATAATTCATCTGTTAAATTGGATGGGCGAAAGCGGAGAGTAGGTGACCTTATGAATTTCTTCCTGCTCTTTTCAAATATCAATACAGATCTACAGAATCTTGCTAGACAGGATGTTGTTTTAAAAATAAAAGAAGATTTCAGTTTTCCCCCAAGATGAACCTGATGGATTCTGTTGCAGATTTTCATCGAGTGATGGGAAATATAAGTGAAATATTTTCACCAAGTATAAATAGATTATACAGAATGGTTGAAAAATTATGACCAGATGAAGATTTTGCCAAAATCAAGATAACGTCCTGTATCTCAGTAATGAAAGACACTAGACACATCAATGGGGGGTGATTCAAAACTACCAAAGTGTAGGAAAAATTTCATCCTCAAACATTCAGGACAATTTCTGGGATTTCACGACCTCTTCTTGCAACCATACTTTCAGCAGTTTGTACAATAACTGATCAAGTACTTTTCTTGTGGGTAATATTTTTCTTGTGTCCACGAGACTGATGATGGGCATATAAAACAACGTTCAAAACATATGTTTCTTTATCCCTTGAGTTCAGGAAATATAGCTTGTTGATGTTTTCATCCTGGTATAGCTTTTAGATATTATTGGGCTCGTGGTTTTTCTCAGCGCAAGGAATCAAAGCTTTGACAAACCCTCATAGTTAAAAAAAATACCTATGCGTACTGCTATATTTCCTTTTCTCCTTAATAAAACATTTACAGCAGTTCTTTAGCTAAGCCCATCATACTCATATGTCCATTTTAGACTACAATGCCCTCTGAAGTCCCACTTATATTCTAGTTGAACTCCTTTCCTTACTCACTAGATATGTAATCAGTGAAGATTGTCGATGGTTTTTCAATGAACCATATTACCTATCTCATTCTTGGCGAATTATTTCAACATTCTCGACTAGTAGTCTTTGTCACACCTTCAGATTTGTATATCGGAGTGGAAATTAGTGTGATGAAACAATGCCAGTGTAGTACAAAGAGCAAAAAATATTACAGCGATTTTCTATAAGAAAATGCATGATGGACCTTTACCTGAAAAATGAGCTGCAAAGTCTTGATTCTGAATTTTGGAACATCCTGTATAATTACTTTTCGTGATGCTTGCTAAGTTCAGGTGAATGAAATTGAGTTTCAAGAAACATCCTATATATAGTTACTTACACACAACAATGGCTCTTCTAGAAGCCGACCCAGATATTTCTTCTGTTGTTCTTTATTTCCAGCTATGATCACAGGTTCTTGCTGAAAAATGCGTTGCGATGCATTACTGATTTTCAAAAACTTACTGAACTCACCCCCAGTCCTGATCCAAGTATTGCAGTGGTGATCCCTGCACATCCCCAAGACAATGCTTCGTTAAGCAAACAACCATCAAATACGCTCTGATTCATTCCACCTGATGGAATTACAGTGTCATTCATTTTTCAAACCAGGCACCTACTACAGGAAGACACACAAGGTCTCTCAGAACAACTAACCATGAATTCTGCAGGGTGGACTAGACACCAAAATAGACTGATTGAAATCAACTCGCCTCTTTACGAATAGACACCGTTAAGCCAGGAGAGGCCGATGGAGAATACTTTCATTCACAGATTTTCCTAGATATTGCGAGATCCTTGATGAAAGGTACTACTTTGAAATTCAAAGGACAATTTTCACGGTAAGAATTTTTGAGTTGATTTTAACTCCACGTCCACACAACTTTGTGTCAATCCAGGTCCGCACCGGATTGTGTTATCATTTTATTGCTACCCTTCGGATTATACTGACACAAAATGTCTCAAAAGAATGAAAATTGTTCGGGAAATCATGTACACAATTTTGACTGACATTCATCAACAATTGAGGTCTCGATGAAACGATTTATATTCTGACGAAGAGCTTTACTCAATATAGGATTTTTTACCGTGTACTATCATGAATATGCATATGAATACCGTGTTATACTGATTCATTCAATATACAGGAGGATATATATTCCACATTCTGTTTGATGAATATTATTGTAGTTAGGTTAGGTTCCATGTGAGTGGGGCGAATACCGCCCCTCCACTGCAACCCCAGATGGGTCTATTGTGGCTCCCCCCTAGAGGTCACAGTTCATTGTACAATCCACATCTTTTCACAAAGTCCATGGTTGAATTAGGTGAGATTTGTCTGAAATCGATAGGTTTTAAGTTGGTATGGCCAAATATGTCGAACCTCAGTCTCTCTAAGCAAGAGCATGAACATAATATGTGTTCAGCCGTTTCGTTTCCACACAATAGAACCGACAGTCCGTTTGTTGGTTCAGATCCATCCTTCCCAGGTGGTATCTTATAGACGACAGTGTTCCGGGAGCAGTCCTGTCAGAATTCGCAGGTTACCCTTGCTCCATTCTAGGATCTGCCTGGTTATATCCTTCGATGGTTCAGGCAGAAACTTCCTTGGATTACGCCACTGGCTATATTGCGATAATTTAATAGCCGATTAAATAAATCATCTAACTTTTTCTTGGATGCGGTTTTTTTAAATGATTATACTTTATTGTCGAAGAAAAATAATTTCTTATTGACAAAGCTTGTACAAAATATAGTCTGGTGAAACCCTTTAAAAAATATAAAAAAATTTAAAATCAAAACACAAATACACAGCATCACACAATTTGAAACAAGTTCACATGTCAAGTATAAAATGTTGAACATGAAAATTTGAAAGCCAAATTGACAGTTGATTAAAATTTTATATGAGTAAAGAGAAGCTAATATTCTCTTTTTGAACAGTTTTTCTATGATTTTCGAGAGGGTTGAGAGTAGGGAGATTGGTCTAGAGTTACTCGGATATTCAGAATCACCACCTTTGAATAGAAGAATTACAAGGGCTGTTTTTCGACACGGAGGGAATTTTCCAAGAGCAAAAGATTTATTTATAGCCATTTCTAGTGTAATCTATACGGAATCGGGAAGCTATTTGAAATTTTAACAGAAATTTCGTCAATGACTGTTGAATTTCATGTAAGATTTCTTTCAGTTCCGGTAAATTTGTATCTTCAGAATGCAAATTGTTGGGTATATTCACTTTATTCAAATGATAAATTGGATTTGAAGTAGGTACAAGGGATGAGGTAAGTTTTTCAACGATTGTGTAGTAAAAGTCATTGAGGGTTTCAGGATCTATATTGACGTGTTCTGGAAGTGGTTTTGATTTACCTCTCAGACTATTCACTATGGCCCAGTTTTCTTTAATTTAATTTCCCGCATTGTTTATTCTATTTTTATAATGAATTTCTTCTGCATGTTTGATTACATGTCTGTAAATTTTGCGATAATTGTTAATATAGGTTGATGAAAATTCATCAGAAAAATATTTTCGTATTGTGTGTTGTAACGATCGCAAGTTGTTAGCAGAAATTTGTATGCCTTGTGTATTCCACGATTTTTTATTTTTCATTTCAATTCATCGTTTGGGAAAACATTCTTCAAAAACTCTGATTGATAATTCTTGAAAGGATCCTATAGAATCGCTCTCTTTCCATGCAATTTGATCGCATTTATGTGTAAATTTGTCAAACATTTTTGAGCTGTATATTCTACCAAATTTGAAGTTTCTTCTTGAGTTATTGCAGTTAATAGGGAATTCGCGCAATATAGCTTCATGGTCTGATAGTCCGGCTGGAATTACATCGCAAGTCAGTGATTCTTCATCCTGGTTTGTGCAAATATAATCTATAGTAGTAGAATAATGTTGCGAGATTCGTGTTGGTTCTTGAGCAAGGTGTTAAGTGCCTGAGTAGATGTAGAAGTCTTGTCATCATAATTTATGTTTGAATCTCCAGCTGAAATGAGCTGTGAATTGACTGAAAGACTTGACGAAAGAATCTCCAATCTACTTAAAAAAGTTGATTTATTACACGTTGGTGGTCTATAAATACAAATCAAATAAATATCATTTTTGCTATCTATTTCATATTCAACAAAATTCATTTTAGTGCATCTCCATACTAGTTTACAATGTCAGAATTACGCTCGGATTTATTATATATTTCGCAAATTACTACTTAATTCGTGTTCAGTCAATAACCACAATATCCATGTTTTTCGAGAAAAAAAAATATTTCAAAGATGACCAACAACCTTTCAGATGCTGAAGTAGTTAATAAACATGATTATTATTGTGGTCAATAATTGAAGAGATAACTCAACACAAATGAGGTAGAAACTTGCAGAACATGATGATCCGAACAAGTATCAAGAAGCACCAAGATTAATTATGTTAGATATGTCGAACACCAAAAAAAATATAAAGAAACTGTTTTGAGAAAAAAGTTTGATTTCTCCTTTCATTGAAATATCGGAATGTTGATTGAATCAATATGTTCTTCATGCACAGTCACGATTTGCCCTACGAATTCTAGAGTAGTACCTCTAAAGGATTTTGAAATATTCAAGGAATCTGGTAATAAGATCATTATTCTTCAACGTCCTCTCACCAATGGTGCATTTTCGTAGAAACTCTAATGGTAAATTGACTTCAAAAGGCCTATTTTGGTCTCTACTCCACTCTGTAGAATGTATGATATGTTTTTTTAGGACACCTGTATTCACCCAGTAGTTGTGTCAAACCTCTATGCCTACATATGTATGTATATGTAAATCGATTGCATTGACTTTGAAATTTCGCACACTCACTAATACATGTTATTTATGAACTTTTTTGTTTTTTACTCGAGCTCATTAATTTTCGTTATTTCTGAGTTATACGTGAACGTTTCTTGATTGACAGAAATGCGATTAAGTGAGGGTAATTTTTGGGTGTAGGTCAATAGCACGCGGCGGTCAATTTCACCTTCACTGGTTAGAAAATGAACTCAAAAAGGATGGAACTATTGAGCACATACAAGATATTGAGTACCTACCCCTAATTGCTGGTTTTCCTTTCAGTACCAGGCCTCTCCTAGTACCCCCAATAGAATATAATGAGTAAGGTTAGATTGTTTAGAAAAATAAGTCTCCTCCTAAAATATGATCCTTCCCCACGATTTTGTTGAGAGATGGATTTGTTTTAGAAAATATACACTTCATTCATCTAGGCCAAGTGAGGTTGGACTGTTCAAACAAGTTGTATTTTTTTGAAATGTAATTCTCTTTACGAACCTTTCGTAACAACAAGTTTAGTCCGCGCACAATTGACCCATAGTACCGAAGTTCGCTTGCGCTCAATTGTCCTATTCCTTCTCTACTACCTGACAAATTTCCTGACCGCTGCGCTCAATCGTTCGTTGCCCTGATTTGTACAAGTATGTCTTGCTTCCTTACAATTTGTTCTGCATTTTCCAAATACAAGTATCATGTCTACTTCTTCATCATTGTTGATATGAACCATTTTTATATGTTTATTGTTAGATTCGTTCAAATCGAACCAATTTGAATATTTTTTCTTGAAAAATATAATAATATCTCTGACACAGTATTTACAATATCTGTCGCTCGTAAAACAATTGCTCGTTAACAATGGTTGCCGAAGTAATAAATATTCATGGCATCCTTGCAAAAATCATCGCTTCCTTGTCAATCAAGAAACATTCACTATAAATCGGCACAACTCAGAAGTGGGTTTAATGAATAAGTTCGAGTAAATAACAAAAATGTTCATGAATAACATGTATACTGTTGAGTGCGTGTAATTTCAAAGGCAATACTTTCGATTTATATTTTCGAGGCGTCGCGACGTTCAGCTCTTAGTAAGCGTTGAATTTTGTGAAGTATGGAGAAAATCCAATTGACTACATCCATTGACTGATTTTTATAGAAATGAAATGTTTCTATTCGTCGTGACGTGCGGAGTTTAAAGTGAACCCTGTATATATTTTTTCATTACAAAAAATCACTGATTCCGTAAATTATATGAAAAACCTTTTTCCTTCCGAACTATTGGGCGTTGAAGGTTGAAGGCAACTACTAAGCACCAATAGGCATTTTTCGATGTAGGAGATCTCCTAATATTTCTACCATTGGCGTCTGCATGAAATGTACAATGAAGATTCTTCAAAAAATATGGTACGCTCTCGTTAAAAAAAAAGAAATCTTCATTCATATGCTACAATTTCACTACTTGAATTTCATCAGTCCGACGCACGGTTTTCGCGTAAAGAAATGAAAACTATTTCGGCTCATTCAACCATTTGACATTACTTGAATAGAAATTAGACAGATCTCACATGTATTCAAACTACCACACGGGGCTTAGTAGGTGAATGTCAAATTGCATGAAAGTATCTTCAACAGTATTGAAGTTATGATGAGAAAACAATTTTTTCCTTGAATTTTGAGGTTTAGTCCATATGTTCATATGAACGTTTCTTCTCAAAATGAGCTGAGGTACCATATCCTATATTTTCAGCCATCAATAAAACTACACCCATTACATAATATGGAAATTATTATTTTCTCATAAGGGTGCTCTCCCACAGAAAATTGAATTCGATTATAGTGAAAAAGTGACTATGCTGACGCCTATTCGATAGAGAATTCTTCCGAATGTGATACAATAATTTCGTATAACAGCTAATTGATATTTCTCTTAATGTATTCTCCACCAGGTGACTTGCTAATTGGTGTGTATTTACACACAATGAAAAAGAGATTTTTTTTACAGCAGTTTGAAATTATTACCAAGGTATTCTGGAATACCGCCGTTCATGAGGCCTAACGACCATGCTTTTTTCACTAGCTCTGTAGGGTGAGTACCAGTCTCATCGTGATGGGCTGCTACTGGTATAATTTCATCCTTCGCAAATTTTCTCGCAGTTTCGAATATCTCTTGCTGTGTATCAGTTAGATCTGAAAAAGAAACAGATTATTGGTCATTCTCCTCATCCCGAAAATGCCATTGTATATGTATGGGTACTTGATTGCATTCAGTGACTGTAACCTCCAATTTATCATGATCGATTAGATATGAATATTAGACATATCATGCAAAGTGTGCATTTGAATTGAACATTACAAAACTTTATAGTTAGAGAGGTTTCAGTTATAGCACTCTAGTATGCCGTTGGAAATATAGTACTGCCATCCTAGAAGAACTTTTTTCACGAACATCCGCATAATTTGTAGTTGCAACTGTGAATCAGCACTAAATTCACAGTTGCAACTGTTGATGAGACAGAGAAAATTTTTTTCTTTAAAATATTCGATTCACAATTGCAACATCAAATCAGAATATATTCAAAAAGAAGTACTTTCTGCCTAATTCACAGTTGCAACTGTGAATAGGAAACAGAGAACCTTCTTTCTCTCTATACACACCCCCTGATTTGCAGTTGCAACTGCAAAGTTGCAATATCAGGCAGGAAAACTCTATTTAACAAAACACGTCTTAATCTACAAGTGCAACTGTAAATTAGCGTGAATTTATAGTTGCAACTATAAATTATGAGATAATGAAAATTTCATCTGCCTAATTCACAGTTGCAACTGTAGATTAGCACTATAACTCGCAGTCTTTCTTTATGTTCTGGATCCCAAGAGAACGGATATTCTGTAATGTTCAGAAAACATCGTGAAAACCAAGGAGAATAAGGTAGGAATTGGTGTACTTCTTGAACTTCTGGAGGTTATATGCCTCGGGGGACACCTCCCTTGGCAATGTGTTCCACAGCGTCGCTTTTCGTTGGATGAACGAGTCTTTGGAAAATGATATTCTGCAGGTCTCCAAAGTGACCACGAAGGGGTGCGAAGACTCACCTCGACGAGTTAATCTCGCGGGACTGCCAAGGGAGGAACAATTGTTGATATTTCATAAGAGCATTGTCCATGGAGAATATCTATGGAATGTTCCAGAGAAGTGAGTGAGGCATCACCCACGAAACGAATTGCCCACAGTATTCCAGGACCGGTCGAATCTGTGCCATATAAATCATAAGCAGCTGACTGGAAGCGGGATAACTACTGGCCCGAAACAGAAAACCAATTTTTTGGGATGCACTGTTAGCAATCGATCTCACGTGATTTTCCCAAGAAAAGTTACTGCTGATAGTAATACCAAAGCATCGAAATGGATATCTTCGAAGGTATGGTTACTCCTGACAAGCTTATGTTGGGCACAGTGAGATCGGCTTTTCTAGAGGAAAGGCATGCTTGTGTTTTGCGGAACACCAACATTTATGATAAGAGAGTCAGATGAAACTCGGGCCACCACTACATGGAGAGACATGTTTGAGAGGAAACTAGCTGGCAGAGAACATAGCTGGGGAGGCAAGCCATAAGATGGATGCTTGGCGAGGAGTCCGTGGTGCCAGATTCGATCGAATGCCTTGGAGATACCAAGTGCCACGGCTAAGGTTTCACCATATTTTTTAATAGATTGCTGCCATATATGTGAGACGTAAGCGAGCAGGTCACCAGTTGATCTCTGATGACGAAAGCCATATAGGCAATATGGCTTTCGTTGATGATATCTGAATGTTTCAGGTATTTCAACTTTGAAAATGATAGATAGCAGTGCGATCGGTCTGTAGTTGCAAGGTAGGGTCTTTTTTCCTCTTTTAGGATGGTTGTACTCTTGCAATTTTTCAATAGGACGGAAATATCCTCAATTTGTGAGAGTAGTTGAACAACTTGCAGAGAACAGGTGTTAGTTCGGGAGCACATATCTTGAGAACAATCGGTGGGATTCCGTCGGAGCCACAAGCTTTGTTGGTGTTGAGACCCAATAGAATCTTCCTTATAATAATAGTACGTTGGCGAAAGGTGATCTTGGGCATTTGACTGCCAATTTTGGCGTTATGTTTGTTACTGTAAATTAGGCAAAGATGCGTAATAGTTATTTATGTATCAAGGGCGTAAAGTAGGCGTTTATGGCCTGTGGCGTGAATAATGGCCCGATGGCGCTAGCCGAGGGCCATTACACGCTCAAGGCCATAAACGCATTTCACGCACGTGATACATACAAAATTTTATGCACTAGTGGTTTATTTTCTGACTCAGAAGTAATGACTATAGATTTCGATAAACTAATATTCCTCCGAATTTGATTTGTTGCGTATGAATTCAGTAATCAAGAGAAACGTAATGTTCATGGATGATTTACATATGAAAATTATCGTACGAATATTGCAATTATCGTAATAGTAAAACTCTTTGATCTCTAGAAGAGATTCATTCTTCAGAATTTCACAATATGCATACCCAGTATATATACCTAACTAATTTTGACGTTGTCAATCAAGCTGATGGTTGTTGTCTATATCAATACATCCAATCATCCAATAAACGAGCTGAATTGTCATTATTTGACTGAAAAGTAAAAATTAGTGATAATAATAATAGCGATAGATATGGAATCGGATAAAAAAGAAGTTCATGATATACCGCTGGATATATCAGAATCTAGGAAAATGATCATAGGTTTTTCATGAATTGATATGTGGACATAAGGTAACTGAGAACAGCGGGCGGTAAAGTGCACTTTACGGCCCGTGGGCCATAATGAGCCCGCGGGCGGTAAAGTGCGACTTAACGCCCGCAAAACCGGGCGGTAAAGTGCACTTTACGGCCCGCTAGTGCATAAAAAAAGTTTTTTGAGGATGGCAGTTCAAAGGCGTCGTTCTATAGTGTGACAACTCGAAAAATGTTATCTTTGAGTCAGGAACACCGTCGGATAGCAAATTCCAATCTCTCCACTACCAAAGTATCTTGACATCTCTAGGTCCAAATCTTGCGGTAGCATATGATTTCTAGGTATATTGACTCTGCGAAAACTTTCATTGTGAATAATGTGATAAGTCATACCTTATTGTTTGTACAAAATTTGGAATTTTCTAGTCATCACGCTTTTGCTCATTCAGTTAATGGAATATATATTTTCCTACGACCCCCTATAAAAGCAGCAGTTAGCACACTGTGTTATATCTCAGAAAAAGTATCTCATATCACCATGGCAATGCAGAAGTGAAAACGAACAATATTCCAGCACGCTCACGTGATCATTGCTTAGTCATAATGTATGGATGATTGAAATACTGAAATATCATGTTTCATCACTAACTATCATAGCATAAACAATTTTTTTTGTTAGAGTTCAGATTCTGTCCCATGAGAACTAATAATTGTTTAGGTTCCGGTATTACTCATTTTGTCATGATCTGCAATTCTGTCATTGCTTTCTGCACCAATGTGGCTTGGATCCACACTGGTGTGGCTCGGGTCTATACACCTTCGCGACTTGGTACTCTGCTGTATTCCTGTGTATTTGCTGGTTGCGTGGTTACGAGGTGCGTGGTAGCTTCCGGCTATAAGCTCACGACGACTTCGAATTCAATAAAAAATATGATATCCAAACCGTCTCCCCTTCAATTTTCATTCTTTGGAAAGAAATAATGATTTATTTACCGAATCATATGAGTTAGAATAATCTTAACATAGAGAAAATACATACAAAAGGTTAGATGAGAAGCAATCAATTGTTCGGAATTTGTGTTCGTGTTTTCTGTTCTAACTCAGGTTCATATTCATGGTTCTAGGAAAAATAGCGTACATAACTCGTTGGAAAGTGCATTTCTTGCAATCCTTACATTTCCGCACTAGCCGCTACGCGGCGTCGTAATGATTATCACTCGTATCAACTAGTTATGTATATTATTAGACGTGAAGAATTCGATACTGTAACGTTAGCATTATTGATTATTTCATTTTGTCACATTATTGCATGCTTGGCAGTTGAAAATGTTTCGGGCTCAACGGGTCTTCCAAAATTCTTTACACGCAGACGAAACAATGTAGTATACTTCCTGCGGAGACTGGTGACGAGGTGCAAAGTCATTATCTTGCTTTGCTCTAGCACCTATAATTCTCCCTAGTGCAATGACGTAAACAGCGTTGTAACGCAGCAGCGCAAGTGCCTATAAAGAATATATCACAGCTTCGCGGATGAAAGTACCCTCCATACCGCCTTCTCTTCCAGGGCGCCGATACTAGCCAGGCAAATCAAAAACGAACGAGGAAGAAATGTTGACAACATAATATGGACTTGGCAACAATTCTCGAATGGGGATCCAAAGACTTGGTAGATTTCAATGCAAACAAAACACAAGCATGCCTTTTCTCTAGGAGAGCCGATATCACTGTGCCCGACATGAGATTGTCAGGAGTAGCCCTACCTTTGAAGACATCTATTTCAATGCTTGGTATTACTATCCTAGTGGAAATCAAGTGAGATCAATTGCTAAAAGTGCATCCTAAAAACTTGTTTTTTTGTTTCGAGCCAGGAGCTATTCCACTTCCAGTCAGCTGATTATGATCTATAAGGCACAGATCCAACCTGTCCTGGAATACTGTACCCATATTTGGAGTGCAGCACATACCCTGAAACTGTTGGATTCTGTCCAAAAAAGGGCAATTCGTCTCGTGGGTGATGCTCCGCTCACAAAACTCACTCACTTCTCTGGAATACCGTAGATTAGTTGGCGATCTGGCTCTATTTTATAGATATCTTCATGGAGGATGCTCTTCTGAAATATCAACAATTCTTCCTCCCCTGGCAGTCCCCGCGAGAATAACCCGTCGAGTTGAGGCTTCGCACACCTTCATGGGCACTTTGGACACCTGCAGAACATCTCTTCCTCGTTCATCCAACAAAAAGTGAGGCTCCGGAACAGATTGCCAAGGTAGGTATTCCCCAAGGCATGAACCCTCCAGAAATTCAAGAAAAACACCAATTCCTACCTTATTTCCCTTGGTTCTCACGATGTTTTCAGAACATTACAGGTCATCCCTTCTCGTGGAAACCAGAAAAAAATAAGGGTGAGTCATGACTATCTAGTCATAGCCTTATGACGAATTCAAGGTGTTGATATATATGTGGAGAAATATATTCTGCCTCTTCCTAACAGTAATACAGGGCATTATTTGATTTCGGGCCGAAATTTTGATAACAATATTTCAGGAACTTGTGTTATCCCCTGAAATTTACCGGCAACTCACCTCTATCACCTCTACTGACACTACCATAGGATGGCCTACTACGGAAAAAATTTAGAGCTAGACTTGGAAAATTCATTTCAAATTGTTGAAAAAATATCGAACAAAATACCGATGAACGTTTCCATGATTTCGCACGGGCATATTTTAGTCACATCGTTCAATAAACTCATTCAAATCCTTTTCTTGCATATCGGTGCATCATTAGGATTTTTTCGATGAAAAAATCCAAGACCGTGGACTTGCTATTCTAGGAGAGACATAAACATAAAAAATGTTCAATTGAGATGTGCTTCTTCATGTGAAAATTTGGAAACATTGTACTTACTCAATAGGAAGAAGTATTGCTCAGATGAAAGACTTCCATCCGAATCAGATATACGTGCCAACTCATACTACATAAGTAGAGGACATTTTGAAGAACTACATAATTGAACCCCATCAATCAGCGAATAAATTGTGACTTTGTTGTTTTCACGATTCAGAAAGCACTAAAAAAGAAGGTTGTGATGGATGTGAGAAAATCGATTGTAATATCTTTTTTGTTTGCAACAGGATGAGGCAACTCCACATTACTCAATAAAAGTGTGACAATACCTAGACACCCAATTCTCTCATCGCAGGATAGGTCGTGGCGGCCCTCATTCTTGGCCTATACAGGGTCTCCTTATCCCACAGGGTCTCCTTATCCCACAGTATTAGACTATTATCTATGGAGACATATGAATAGATGCAAAAAATTGGAGGAGGACTCTTTTAGAAACTTCGTTGAAGTATATCAAGATACAGACAAATCTTTTCAAAAAATAATAATTGATTTGTATTTTTTTTTCAAATCAAGTCCCAAGTCAAGTACTGATTTTTTTATTAATGAAAACCTATTCTCAACTTGATGCTATATCAATATGCGAATGAATTTGATTTCAATACTCTAAGTCAAATGTAAAGAGTATTTTGTTTGAAATTTCTTTACCAAATCCGTTGAAGTGTGCCGTACAAATTGAAGAGCTGTACTTGTGTTTTACTGATCTTTCTGATCCTGATGGATTTTTTCGAAAAATTCCATCCAGAAAGTTATATATTATGACATTCTTAAAGAAACTCAATTTCCAAGTCCACCTATGGAAGTTTTTACATAGTAGGCCATATTACGTAATGTCAGTTGAGGTAACTTGCTGGTTAATTTCAGGCGATAACATCGAGTCGTTCGTGAAATATTGTTCATCAAAGTTTATTTGCCCCGAATTCAAATAACGCCTTGTTTTTCTGTTACGCATAGGCAAAATATATTTCTTCACATATAATAATATATCAACTCACCTCAGGCTATGGCTGGCTACTAGTCATGACTCACCCTGTAGATATGCTATGCTATGTGTACAGCTCGACATCCGAAGGTAGTTCCAACACAAAATCAATTATGTTGAGTTGTCACAATATTGTTATCAACGTGTGATATGTATAAGTGCATCTACGAAAATTCCGTTTGGGATTTGCATTGATCTGCTGTATATGTGCTTCATCGTTCAATTCGAAAATCATCACATACCATATATGCGTCGCTACGTCCACTGTTCAAATTTTCGAATTCGTCAAGAATAGCCGTATATAGACTCACCAAAATTATATCCAGATTGAGACTTTGATCCAAGAATGGTACTCGTTGAAAAACCTCTTGATATAGTCCTCAAGCATGATGTGCTGATCTGTATAATAACACGAAAAACAGAAATAATTAATTTTGAGAACTGAAAATTGAAATATAATTTGCTGGGCCATGTCAGTTCTGAAATTTATTAAATTTCATTTATCATCATGATTTATCACCTTTTGTGCTGGTAACATGGCTGAGAGTAGATTGTCGAATGAATGAATGTAAATAGGTATTTGTTTTGTTGTAATCAAAGATAAGAGTAGACAGTGGCGGATCTCAATTTTGTTCGACCCCAATCAGGAGGCCCTCTAACAAGTATGAAGCAATGTTTGCTAAGAATGTGTAGGAGCGTCGGATTTCAAGAAACATAGGAAAATGATAGAAATAAGCATTTATTGAAGTTACAACTTCAAAGGACCCTGAGGCATTTTCTGGGTTGAAAGTTAACCGGCAAACTCGCGTCACGAAAGCGCGAATACCTTATGACTGACATCATCATAAGTCATGTACACCTATATAGGATGATTCATTGGGAAATGCGCATACAGTTACCCAGTTAACACAGAATATCTTACGGATATCCATATGATGTCAATGCTCCATACAAACATGGACACTGAATGGACATTCGATGGATGTCCATTAGCCCCTTGAACACTTGACATCTGTTTAGGGACATTCACTGGACATTCAGTTTTCGTCCATACTGGACGTGAAGATTTAATTGAATGATGAACGTCCATTAGACTCCCTTTGTACATCCTTTGATCGAATCGAAATATACCACGATATATACCATTTGCAAATCGATTGATTCTTTACATTCGAATAGTAAGTTTATCATATTTCCAATATCATGTAATATAAAGGAAAAACAAATTTCGAGGCAGCAAGAGTTTTGGAGAGGTACCTATTTTATTGGTAGAGGAACTGCAGAATATACCCTCTCGAATTAATTGTCTATTAAGAGTGATGAATAGGACTCAGCATTCAGTGGTTTCATCAAAATAATTGAGTATTTGAAATCATCATTAGACTGATATATAATCTCATTTTTCATGAGGATTATTTCTCCTCTTCAAATATTTTCTACATAAGTTCGCAAAAAGCATAATGCTCAGTGGAGTAGCGTACCTGTTTGATGTGGTGAATGGATATCCAATGGATATCCATTGTATGTCCCTATCCCTAATAGCATACTGAAGTCTCATGGATGTCCATGACACGTCCCGCCGGGACATTCAAGACATCCATTTATTGTAGTCGCCCTAGGACCAGATCTCCTAATTTGATCCTGAAGAAGGTTCGCAAGGATGTCAAATGGACTTGCGTGAAGGACATCGACGTGGAGTATTCATAGCATACGAGCAGTCGATCGTCCGCGAGGTTTAAGTTGACGTTAGTCGTTGAAGCAAGACGTTATTCCTAGGACAGTGAAGATTATCATTCGCTTGCGTGACAAACAGTAAATTGGATACTTATCTGAAGCCCTGTATGGGATATCCGACATATGTCCCTAAGGGATATTCTGAGTGTTATTCGATCCTGGATATATTAGGAGAAATTTACCGTCTGGGATATTTCAAGGTTGTTCTAGAAGGGACATTATATAAGAGCTGAAGTCATTCCAGAAAGTGTACTACTTGAGACAACCGATGGATGTTTCTAAACGAACGCCATCTTGAAATTTTCATCTGTCAATTCTACTTCATGCACCCATCTCATCACTTCAAGTTTAAATTTTTCCAGTTGACCCGTTCAAAGAATAACAGGGGGAGACACATTAAATAAAAGCACTGTTTATTGTCACACCTGGTATATGAAACGAATAATTCATTGAACTAATGAAGAAATATCCACCAAAGAAAATATAATTCTTCAGAATATAATTATTATTACAGTCATTCAAATTTTCACAAGTAATTCGAATCCAGCTCATATTTCACAGACTGGAACTGCGTAAGCTCCCGGGCATAATTCATCGAACTCGAAAGTTCACCTATGAGGTAATGAACTCAATCGATATGATTATTGCTGATTTTGCTGACTCGGCAAGTATCGACTATGAAACATTATGAGTATTGATTTTACGGGACAGAACAAATAGTACGTGAATCGATAGTTTGTCTATACCTATCCGAGTACGGTCTTCCGCGCCGGTAGGTTTTTCACCCTGGTAGCAGACTCAAGAACAACCCTAGAGCTATGGCGAGGCACAACTCCTCATCCACCAGAGCGGCAATGGTATTGGCAATGTGAGTACCTATTTTATGTGAAATTGTTTTTCTTACCTCGTGCGGCCCCCGTAATTATCTTCAACCCCTTTGGTAGTTAGATCCATAGATGTAGGGAGTTACTGGAAAGTGTAGGCACAGAGTCACTCTAGTTTATTCAGGTCCCTTGATATCTTTTGGTAACTTTGAACCCTTTTTGTTCTTACTTGCTTGTTTTTATCACTAATAAATATCACTTTTGTTAAACAGGAAGTACACTCTTTCCTTGCTACAACCGACCTACGGTGTGTAGTAGCTAGGTCACCCTCTCGCTGCTAAGCATAACCCCCTAAGATCACGCAACCAGGATGGAAGGCCCCATGAGTTCCTGACACTTGAGAAGGAGAATTCTGAGATCGTGACAATATCATGAATCATACAGGAATGTTTATTCAAAGTAGGCTATACGCCGGGCGATAAAGTAGTCCGCGGAAGGTAAAATGCCACCTGGAGCCCGGTCGTGCATAATAGTTAATTATGTATCCTAGGGCGTGAAATAAGCGACATGAATAACAACACGCCGCATCAAACCTACATGGGAGAAAATGAACCATTGCTTCCATGATATATATATTTATATATATGATTTCATCACGAATGCAGTCATTCAAAGCAGCTATGTTCTCTGCTAGCTAGTTTTCTCTCAAACAGGTCTCTTCAAGTAGTTGTCGACGGAGTTTCATCTGACTCTCTTATCATGAATGCTGGTGTTCCGCAAGGATCAATTCTAGCTCCAACACTATTTCTACTCCATATCAATGATTCGTTGGAAGTAACTCCGTGTCCGGGACACAGCTTCCTGGATGATAGTCCCCTCCATACCGCCTGCTCTTTCAGGGCTCCAATACCAGCCAGGCAAATCAGAAACGAACGAGGAAGAAATGTTGACTACATAAATATGGACTTGGCAACGGTTCTCGGATGGGGATTCAATAACTTGGTAGATTTCAACGCATCAATGCAAACAAAACACAAGCATTCCTTTTCTCTAGAAAAGCCGATCTCACTGTGCCCAACATAAGCTTGTCAGGAGTAACCATACCTTCGAAGACATCCATTTCGATGCTTGTTATTACTATCAGCAATAACCTTTCTCTGGAAAATCTCGTGAGATCAATTGCTCAAAGTGCATTCCAAAAACTTGGTTTTCTGTTTCAGGTCAGGAGCTATTTCACTTCCCATATTTGGAATACAGTACCCAAATATACCCTGAAACTGCTGAATTCTGCCCAAAAAAGGGCAATTCGTCTCGTAGCTGATGCCTCGCTGACAATCTCACTCACTTCTCTGGAACACCATAGACAAGTTGGCGATCTTGCTCTATTCTATAGATATTTTCATGGACGATGCTCCTCTGAAATATCAACAATTGTTCCTCCCTTGGCAGTCTCCGCCCGTCAAGTTGAGGATTTGCACCCCTTCGTGGTCACTTTGGAGACCTGCAGAACATCTATGTCCAAATACTCGTTCATCCAACAAACAGCAAGGCTCTGGAACACACTTTGCCAAGGGAGGTGTTCTCCGAGGCATATAACCTCCAGAAATTTGAGAAGAACACCAATTCCTACCATATTTTATTACTTGGTTTTCACGATATTTTCAAAACATTACAGGATATCGTTTTTCGTGACAAACAGAACATAACAAAAATCATTCTTGAGATTGTATTTCAGGTGCTCTATCTCTCGATCCACATCATTATGCATTACAAAGGTATATAGTATGCTATGGACAATTGGCGGCACTTGAACGAAAGTCAATCTGACACTTCTGGCATCATGAATTGATTGATTCGTATATCGTGTAACTCCACTTGAAAGTTTTCATTGAAACTACGCTCCGAATAAAAAGAAGGGTATGATATCATTGAAATTCGAAGAGGATATTATTATATTTCTTTTATTATAGTGATGAAACATCTGTGCAATCCAAGTAATCAGTGCACTGATGTCTTGGATCGCACAGATTTTATAGGTATATCGACGCCAAAGGATGCATGCTGAAGCCAATTTATTTCACCTCTCACGAAAGTTGATATTTTTTTCTTACCGTGCGAGGGAGTGAATTGACAACTTTGTTCCGTTCAATGAAGCAGAAAAGCCTACTTCCGATTTAGTGAGTAGATGGACAGAACGACCACATTTTATGCACTAGTGGTTTATTTCCCAAGTCAAAAGTACTCAATTACTAGAATTCAATTATATGTTATTCATATATCAATAAGGGAGCAAGGGTAACCATTTTTCCCCGCGTGTGGAGTATGCGCCCACTGAGTATGCCATGGACATTTTTTTTTTCATCGAGGTGGTTGAAATCTTTCATGGACACCATATGGGTCCAATCCCCCATATGATAGTGTGGGAGTTCCCTGACTCCAGGTATACCCACTAAACACTCCACCCCGTTTGTAGGCTCGTCTGAACGAGGTCTCCTACGACACTAAGGTCAAGTGGCTCATTGTATCTTGCCTACATGCCGTTATAAATCAACCTCATGGTGCTTATTAAGGGCAACTTCAATATGAAAGACCCTTTTCGTTCAGGTTCCTGAAGATTACTCTTTCGATCCCTATTCTCGTCTACGAAGAAGGCCAAAAGTTATCCTTCTCATACGAGTGACGGTAGAAGGGGTTGGTCCAGCCCTGTGGTGCCCCCTTCACAGGGCTAAGGCTACTTACTCTGAGATGTCGCCCTTCATCCGTCGAGCGGCCGCGGTCTGTCCTCCCCACACCACTTGATGATGAGGTTGGGCTTGAAGGGGAGGAGGAGAAGAGGAGTTGGCCAAGAAAGGCCGATAGATAGATTGAAAAAGGAAGCGAGAAGAGGATATCACCCAAGACAAGTTGAAGTATGGTGAATATCCGGCTAGGGTACCTCGGGTTCACTATTCCCGTACTCACAAGTTGTGAGCCCCTAAGGGGCAGTATATTTGAATCTAAATGAAAATC